TGTCGGAGCGAGGCTGACGCCAGGGCGCTCACTCCAGCCAGGGCGACAGAGCGAGACTCTGTGTCAAAAACAAATAAATAAGGGACGTAATTCCGAGAAGGGGCCCCGGCTCCGTCTTCCTCAGGGGTCGGCGGGAACCTCGTGGCCGTCCAGACCAGCCGCCTGTCCACGCACCTGCACGTGTCCAGCCCGCCCGGGGTCCTGCCCGTCTCCATGAAGGCCTTCTGGCCCAGCCCTTGTGCCGTCTTCTGCTCGCCAGGTGAGCCTGCCCGTCCTCACGCAAGGGGAAACTGAGTCGCAGGGAGGGCGTCGAAGCGCAGCTCGCCTGGCCTCGCGGCCCTGCCCCGCACTCACCCGTTCACTCAAGTGATGACATTTCAGCTTCTTTTTATAGTGACATCTGAGTCTCTGCTCCGTCGCGCCGGGCGCGAGGAGGCGGCTTCGTGTCGTCAGTGCCTCGTCTCATGGCATAGCCCCAGGCTCCTGGCCTCCAGCGGAGCCTCTCCGCCCCAGCCTCCCTTCCTGAGTAGCTGGAAGGGACAGGCGTTTTGCTGCCCACCTTTTTTACGCCCGGGCTCGTTTTTTTTTTTCTATATATTTTTAGTGTCCGGCTCATTTTTTTGTCTCTATTTTTAGTAGACGGCTGGGTCTGCGCTCTTTTGCTCAGGTCTGGTTTCTAAAACTCTTGACCTCGTTAGCATAGCGATCTCCCTGCCTCGCCGCGCGCGCGAGTAGCTGGGGACTAATCAGGCACTTGCGCCACCACGCGCCGGGCTCATTTTTTTGTATTATGTATATATAGTTTTTTTTTAGTTGCAAGCCTAATTCTTTCTAAATTTCTTTTTATGTAGGCAGACGGTTGGGTCTCGTTTGCTCAGGCTGTCTTTCGAAGTCCTGACCTCGAGCCGACTCCTCTTGCTCAGCCTCTCTCCGAGTAGCTGGTCTACAGGCATGCGCCACCACGCCCCGGGCTCATTTTTCTGTAGTATATTATTTTTAGTTTGTCCAATTAATTTCTTTTCTATTTAAGTAAGATGGTTCTCGCTCCTTGCTCAGGCTGGCCTTAAATTCCTGACCGTCAGCGATTCCTGCCCGCCTTTGGCCATCCCAGAGAGCTAGGATGACAAGGCTGCTGGCCATCGGGCCAGCTCATTTTTTTCTATAGATACTACATATATTCTTTTTTACTTGTCAGCTAATTTCTCATTTTTTTTTTTTTTTTAGTAGAGACGGGGTCTCGCTCTTGTCAAGGCTGGCCTCGAACTCCTGACTTGAGCTGATCTCTCCTCCCTCCGGGCCTCCAGAAGCGTAGGATGACAGGCTGACCGCCACGCCGGCCCACATTGGTTTCAATTTTGTATTGTTGTTAAAAAGTGTGGTTGCATCAGGCGGAATCACACGGGAGGGAGGAGAAAACCTGGGGCTCACTAATGCACCCCGCATGCTGGCGGGGTTTGGGGTGCCAGGAAGGGAGGCTTCCTGTTTTCTTTGTCACCTTGCACGGGTGGGGAAGCTGGGGCTGGCCCTCCCTCCTCAATCCCGAAGCTTTTTCCCTCCTTGGGCCTCTTGCATGTTCTCTCTCCTCTGCCCAGGGTCCTCTCCGTCAAACTGAAACCTCTGCCAGGCCGGGCGCGGAGGCTCACGCCTGTCATGCCCAAGCACTCTGGGAGGCCGAGGCGGGAGGCTGCCGCTCGAGGTGGAGTTCGAGGCCAGCCTGAGCGAGAGCGAGAGATCCTGTCTGCTACTAGTATATAGAAAGAAATTAATTTGGCCAAACTAATTATATATAGTGATAGTAAAAAAAACGAGCTCTTGCTTGGGGCGGGTGGCGGCGTGCCTGTGGGCCCCAGCTAACCCGGAGGGAGCTGAGGCAGGAGCTCGGCAGGAGCCAGAGTCGGCAGCCGCGTGAGCACGTGTGATGCACGGCACTCCTTCAGCCGCTGTGACAGACGAGAACTCTGTCTCAAAAAAAGAAAAGTCCAGAGCTGCAACGTGTCCTCCTGCGTCACTCCTGGTCTGTCCCCAACGTGGGGAGGACAGGCGGCAGGTCCCCTGACGGTCCGTGGTGGCCGTCCTCGCCCTGGCCTCTCCCGTCTCTCGCCCCTAAAATCCCGGCTAAAAACCTGGGTGGGGACAGGCCCGGGGCGGCTGCACCTGCCTGTCCCCAGAGCCGCGGCCCAGGAGCGGTCGGGAAAGGAAGGAGGGCAGGGGAGGCTCGGTGGCGCGTGGCCTCCGTGTTGGAGGCCGGCCCAGCCAGCGTCGCGGTCCTGTCCCCCCAGGCACGAACTCCATGTCGGCGCGTGTCCTGCTGCTGCTGGTGGTGCCGGGCCACCTGGCCTTCTTCTACCTGGTGTCGCTGGTGGAGGGCCGGGCCGGCCTGCCTGAGGTGGGTGAGGATGCCCTTCGCAGGTGGCGGGGGATGCTGAGGTGGGGGGGATGCTGAGGTGGGGGGATGCTGAGGTGGGTGAGGATGCTGAGGTGGGCGGGATGCTGAGGTGGGGGGATGCTGAGGTGGGGGGATGCTGTGGTGGGTGGGGATGCTGAGGTGGGCGGGGATGCTGAGGTGGGGATCTGAGGTGGGGGGCATGCTGTGGTGGGTGGGCGGATGCTGAGTGGGCTGGGGATGGCTTGAGGTGGGGGGATGCTGAGGTGGGGGATTGCTGAGGTGGGTGGGGAGCTGAGGCGGGTGGTGGATTTCTGGAGGCGGGGTGGGATGCTGAGGCGGGTGGGGATGCTGAGGCGGGTGGATGCTGAGTGCGGGTGGGGATTGTCTTGAGGCGGGGGGATGCTGAGGCGGAGGTGTGGATGCTGATGTGTGGGTGGGGATGCTGAGGTGGGGTGGGGATGCTGATGCGGTGGGGATGCTGAGGTGGGCGGGATTGCTGAGTGGGTGGGGATGCTGAGCGTGGGTGGGTGCTGAAGGCGAGGTGGGGATGCTAGGTGGGGATGCTGAGGTGGGCGGGGATGCTGAGGTGGGGGGATGCTGAGGGGGATGCTGAGTGCGGTGGGGATGCTGAGGGGGTGGGAATGCTGTGAGTGCGCGGGGATGCTGAGGTGGTGGATGCTGAGGTGGGGGGATGCTGAGGTGGGGGGATGCTGAGGTGGGGGGATGCTGAGGTGGGGGATGCTGAGGTGGGGGGATGCTTGAGGTGGAGGCGGGGGCGCCAGGTGGGCGGGGCCAGAGCGGGAGTGGGTGGGGCTGGCTGCAAATGGGCGGGGCTGTTGCAGGTGGTGGGGATGCCTGAGGGTGGGGGGATGCACGCAGGCGGGGTGGGGGTGATGCCGAGGCACGGGGATGCCGAGGCGGGCAGGATGCCGAGGCGGGCGGGATGCGAGGCCGGGGGATGCCGAGGCGGGGGGATGCCAGGCGGGGGGATG